ATATGTGTGTGTGTGTGTGTGTGTGTGTGTGTGTGTGTATGTATATATATATATATCGCGATCCATTTTGCGATTTTTCCGTCGACCGCATTGCGATGAATACAGTCTGTGCGAATGACCAAGAATCGGTGAGAACACATTACTTTTAAAATCAATGACATTTTCACGTTTAAACGGCGCGTCTTATCAGGTGAGCTGAAGTATTGCAGTGCGTAAACTTATCGACGACGAGTAAAGTTTCGCACGTGAAAATGAATCGTAAAATATACAAATCGTGCGCTCTTTCTATATGATTTTGTGCATAATGGAGAAAATAATTAGAAAAATAAAAATAAATATTAATCTTGAAAATAAAAATTAGGACTAAAAATTAAACATTACGCACAATAAACACAAGTGTAAAATATAGTTATATTTAATACTTACTTGTGCATCACGTTTAATCTATTCCAAATTTTCATTTCCAAATATTTAATATTTATTCCCATTCCAAATTCTTATTTCTATTTTTCCATTGTGTACAGGATCTTATCGAAAAGATATTAGACACAAAGTGTGTTTTTTAAGACAACATAAAGTCCAAAATTGGGACATTAAGGCGGGTCTTATCATCTTCGATTAAATATATCGATTGATTAAATTTATCTGCAAAATTTACACCTAATCATATTTTATTGTTTTTGTTGATCTTCCCTAATTTTCTACAAATTATGATTTTTTACATAAAGCATATTTTTAAATAATAATTCAATAATATTTTCAATTAAAAAAATTCAATTAAAAAAATTAAAAAATTAGGTTAAGAATGGTGAATTTTAAGTTTTGCAAATCTTAAATTTAATCGATTAAATTAATCAGAAATAGTAAGATCTACCTTTAAATCTCTTTAAGATTTTAGATCTTGTTATCTGATCTGTTATCTGAATTGAATTTGCAAAAGATTATAATGTTCGTATCCAGATTGTATAAATTAAATATTTTCGTTTATTGTTGTCGACAAAAAATAATGGCGAAATAAGAAACTCATACAAAATGACATTATTTTGAATATTATTTTGAAAACGAGTGACGAAATTGAGCAAATTAAGTTACTATTTACATGAGACAACGATTATTATATATTTTAAAAATAAACTCAGGAAATGTTTGTAAAACTGATTATCACAAAACAAAGTATGTTCCAATGATAAATTTTCTTTCAACTACCTCTATTCAATTTTTCAAAAATATATCAAGTGACAGAATTAAAAATAACACAATGTTAAATATCAAATCAGAAAGGATCAGAACGCTTGGTTTGGAATGGAATGCGTCGCAGCGCGGGATATATCTGCGCATAATAAATTACAGTAAAATTACAGGCAGGATTAACATTTAAATTTTATTAAAACCAACAATAACAAGAGCAACAACAACAAGTCGATGTGCCTCAAACAGCCCGCGGCAACTGTATCTCTCGCTCTTTTTCTCGCTCTCTCTCTCTTTTTTTCCTTTTTCTTTATTCTCTTATAAAAAAAAAAAAAAAAAGAAAATAAACAAATACTGCTTCTCTTATGTCGCACTAGCACGCCAACCATGTCGAGCTCGAACGAGCGCATCTCGATACGATCGTCACTGCGAACGAGCGAGCGCCTGGAGACCTGCGACATTAGTAACATTTGCAAATGAACACACAGGATTAAAGGTGTTACCACATTGGTGACAATGACGATGAACGGGACACGCGTCCGGCCGCAATCCTTGTGTAGCAGATACATCGCAATACAGGAAAACACACAAATCCCATTCGCGCTAATGATCGGCCGGGCAGCCCGTCATAGGCGCCGGTACGATCGCTAAAAGCAATGCAAGGAGACAAGCGAGCAAGAGCATGATGCACGTCGTTACCGGGACGGTTATGAGGTTAGTGACACGGGATACGCACACGTCGTCCCCGACGTGGCGCGATCTCCTGCGAGCAAGCTCGCACACTGTGCGCTCACCTTCGGGGCTCCCCCCGCGTCGCGCGTCCGTGTCTCGTGCCTCGATTCCGCTAGGCAGTACCACGGTCTCCTCCTGATCGCGTTCCCGCTCCTGCCTCAGGTCGTCCGCGATCAGGTTGATCTTACGGATCGCACCGTTCTCGATCTCGTTCGTACTAGTCGCGACGGCGGCATCCCCCGCGATCGGCGCTACGTCGCGGACAATCCTTCTCCGTCTGGTGCTCAGATCCTCGATCTCCTGTCCATGTTCGTAGAGACTAGCCGCGGCCAGTTGCAGGTCGCGAACGGCTCTGGACAAGTCCAACTCTGCATTGGCTGTGGCAGCGTCGTCCTGGAGGTGGCTGGCGTCGCTTGGATCTCCTTCATTGCTTGTGAATGAATCGCGGTTTGGCATTACGCGAGTAGTTTCCTGGAGTTTGGGGGTGACGGTAGACCGGCCTTCGCTCGTTGGTTCATCCTGATAAGGCGTGGAGCTGCTGCGCGTGCTGCCACTTTGGTCCTCGATCTCGGAGTTGCGTGACGCCGAGGAATTTTTGCAGGCGGATAAACGACTGTCGCGTAGGCGATCGGCCACGTCGCCGAAAGCCTCCGCGATCAGCTTGACATTTTCGTCTGCCACGCGAAGATAGAAATCAAGGTTGTTGGCTGCCGGCGTCAATTCCGACGAAGACTTCGCGGAATTTGAGTCGGTCGAGCTCTCCGTCTTTTCGCTTTCAACATTCCGCTCTTCGTTGGCACGTGCGGTCTGCCGTGACCCTGAATAATGACTACCCAAAGAGCGTATATGTATGCTCACCGAGGGTTCATCAACCTCAAGTTTAACGTTGAAATCATCTGATTTATTGGCGATGGCGATGATGGGATCATCCGTGTTTGGCGATTCGATCGGCGATGTCGCGTCACCATCGTCTTTTATTAAATTAACTAAATCTTGGCAGAGACGACTGTACGCGGTAAAGTCCGTTTCCGTGCTGCGACCGCTATTGGCTGCCGAAGTGTTGGAATCTGGGCGTAGGTACTCCTGCCAAAATCCGTCGTCTAGGATGGCCTTTGAAGACAGCATGGCGTCGGACAGTTCTGCGATATCGAATTTTTTCTCCTTCTTAGGACTTTCACGCGTTGTCGTTGTCATCATTTCCGGTGATACGTAAACGCACACCTTCTTCCGGTATGCACCTACCGCTGGATGATTGCCGTTGATATCGATATCGCCTTTGACCGTTAGCTCTTGCCACCTATGTGCGTCGTTATCGAACAACTCTCCGTCGCTCACGACGCGTCTGAGATACTCAGGTCGCTCAGGCGTCGCAGCAAAATTCCTCGTGACATCCTGGATCTCGTCCTTAATAGCATCGAGGCTGGACTCACGTCGCAGATGAATTCGATCGTGATTGATCAGTCCATAGAGATTGGCCGATAACGATCGAACGGCGCGTTTCTTCTTCATGCCGCTGTTAACGACTACCGGTTGCTCCTTCGAGGCATCGAGTTTGCTCTCCGTGACGTTGCGCGTCACGACGGCGTCCTTTCTGAGGGCTCTGTAAGCCAAGTCGTCCGTGACCACGTCGGGTTCGCATTGCGGTATGTACGGCGAGCGCGGTTGTTCCGGTTTCGTTGGCGTCGTGTGCAGGTAATCGCTCTCGGTCGCCGTGGTGACTGGTCCGAGTGGTATACCGAACGGTGGCTGCGGATCGATTATTCGAAGCGTGTTGTTGGCGTGACTTATACTACGGAATACCACGTCGTCGCGAGTCACGTCAGGCTCGTCCCGCCGGACGGACGGACAAGTCAACGGTAAACGCACGAGATCGTCCGCCGAGTCTCTTCCCGAAAGAACGGGCGAGGTAATAAGATAGCTAATGCTAGATAGGGTTGATTGTCCTGCGATATCCGAGAGCGACGTGGGTCTCTCCTTAGGATGCATCCTCCGATAGGCCATGTCATCCTTCGTCCTGTCCGGCGAATCTGGAGTAATCACGCTCACCGCATCGAGCGAGACGCTCTTATTTTGCTTCTGATGGAACTCTTCCATACTTCGGCGTTCCGCACGGTCCAACAGATCCTCGTCGCCGAGACGAAGGCTATTGTATATCGCTTCCAGTTCGGATAGAGCCTCCTCAAGATTCTTCGAACTTCTCCGTTTTTCCTGAGCTTCTTCAGTCGGTATTATTCCTCTCTCTTTTTCACTTCCTTCGACGTGATTATCGACGTCACACGGAGTAATGGAACGCGAGATGCGTTGTTCGCAGGGAGATCTTCCAGACGATCTTCCAGACCAATCGGATGACGCAGCAGATGCGCGCGATGAAATCGTATCGTGGTGTTTATTCATTTCGCAGATGTTCATTGATTTATTCTTGACCTTGTACGCGCAGTAATTCGCGTCGTTGCGATTGAGCTGATCGTTGCGAGTATTTCTACGTCTCGTTGCTTCGGTTTCCTTGTAAGCCGATTCATTCGCGCAGTGACGACTGGCGTTATATTTATTGTTTATACGCTCCAGCGAATTACGGAATTCAACATCCGTTTTGAAATTCAACATTGAGTTTTCTAGCCCACGTTCCATTGTGTCGCGCCAGGCGATCTCGTTATTCGACCCGTACGATCGGAAGTTTCTCCAATCGGGTCTCGATATTCCATTCGCAACATTAGTCCTATTGTCGTCTTGGTTAAAGTAATTTGGCACATTTTGGTGTCTGTTCGTCGTTGGATAGGAACTGTATCCGTGACCAAACACGCGACGAGGATCCCTCGGTGGTGGTTCGGGCGGTTGACTATCCGGATTGATCAATCGGCGATCGACCGCATAATCGAACGGTTCCGAGTAATGGCACGCGTTCTTTGCGGGATATGTAAAAAAGTTTCGATGGCTGTTCGTGTAGACGTCGCTACTGAGATTTCGCGAGATCTTCCCGTACGTGTTGTTCTGATTCAAGTCCGTGATGTATTGCCCGGTGGAATATCTCCTGACGTCGCCGAAAATTTCGGAATGCGGCAAATTCGCGCGGTCCACATCTCGTAGATTCTCCGCGGAGGATCCCTGAATCGGGAACACGCGATTGTTCGAATATACGCCAGATCGGCGCGGATGTATGGGCGGACGACACAATCCGTTCGTATCGACCCGCCCCTTATCTTCAATACATTCTATGGAACACCTTTTGTTATACAGGTCGTTCAAAGTGTCGCCGCTGCCATTGCCCTCGTCCCGAGATAAACGCTTGATGTAACGCTCCGTTCGAGCAGCGCGAGTTCTTCTACCGCATATATTACTTTTCTGGCCATTTTGCGCGCTATCCATTGTGTGAAATCTATTTAGTGAGTTGTTGGATCTACGACAATCCTCGTCGGAACTGCTGGCAGCGCACAGATGATCTCGCTTAGCTTCGGTCCGAGCTTTCAGCTTGTTCCTTCGATGCTTCTTTCCTAAGCCGTCCAACGAACCGTCACTGCTACGCGAATGTAGTGAGTCTCGACGCGAATGCGGTGAATCCGTCGCATGGCGAAAGTTATTTTCGGCTCTTACCCGCTTATCATGCTCTAAATTATTCTCTACCGAATGAAGGACAACACCATCGGCTTGCCTGTTGATTTTGGCGTTCCTTCTCGGTGTTCTTTTACAATAAACAATCTCTTCGTCATTGGACGAACTTTCGTAATCTCTTATCGAAGATATTCGTCGCAAAATCCCACCTATAGACCATTTCTTATCCTTTTTCTTATCCGATGCACTGGGTATTGCGTCACAAACTGGTAAACGTCGAGTTGGAGGCAGAAGACCATCCATCCTCAATATATCTTTCTTACGCAGACCTTTTTTATCCATGATAGATATCACCAAGTTTCCTTGATGTTAAAATATCTGGAAAAATATTGAAAATGTTTTATTTATTTTGCTCATAAAAATTAATTTTATATTTTATATTTATTTATGTTTTATTAAGTTAACTTTTGTTACTAACAGAGGAAAGCATATGAATAGAAACACAAAATATCTCACAAAACGAATACAGAAATTATGCAAGACTTATTAAAGTTTCATATATTCCCATACATTGTATTCAACTAACACATTCACTGAATATATTTGCAAAATTGACAGCCACGTGTTCGGTACTATCGTTTTTTTTTCAAATCTTGTCTCGAATCGTGTGTCGAACCTTCTTTTCAAGTCCCCTCGCAAGGAATATCCGAGACGTATGTTTTCACGACGTACACGCACACGCGCACACATATTCGAGAGATTACTCGCTCGGCGTTTTCTTAGAAAACGTCGGAGCCTCGCGATAAAACTCGCCGCACGCTCTCGCCCCGATTATAAATACATCGCGCTACCTCGCCTGTGCACTAACCTCCGATGTCGAAATCGGCGACGTGACTCCTTCCTCAGCCTGGACCTGCCAACTCGCGAATAATGAGTCACCGGTGCCAGATCGTACTCGATCATTGAGGCCGCGATGACGTTCTCTGCAGCTGCACGCAATAAGCGAGGTCAGTGCAGCGTCGTCGTCCGGACGTCGTCCGATAACCACGATAGCGTCCTATTAATCGTCGCGCCGCCTCCTCGCGTACCTCCGTTCGTCGTCTCTCTCGCGAACGAAAACTTTTGACAGGCTGCTCGTCGTCGCGCTACGTCACGCCGCGCGTAAGCGGACTCTCGTCCGACTCCGGTCCGATTCACGTGACACGCGCGACGCCTCTCGCTGCTCCAATTTCACTGATTCGACAGCTCTCTCAGAGCCCGCGAGGAGGCCCGAATGACCTCGAAATGTCCATCTCTCTTACACGGGGAGTCGTCGCACCGGAGAAAATACGTGTCCGACGTTCGCGGCAACGGAACGGCCATTACTCGACGAGCGCCGCGCCAGCGCTCGTAAAAGGCACGACGGTACCAGACGGCTGCTCGTATCGAACTTACGAGGAGAGAAGCGAGGCAACGATTCGTTCTCGAGACCCCACCCATGCTCGCTTACTCGTTCGCCTCGCTCTCCGCGCTTGATCTTCGTGTAAAAATCTTCGAGCGAACCACCTACGCGTCGCCACACATTGCAGACGACTGGCTGTACGGTGGACGGTGTTAATGACAGCGTCGCTTAGCGCGTCCCCACCACGAAGAAGCACGTTGGATCTCAGGTCGGCTGGGTAGAGTCCTAGGCTGGAGTATATTCATAGGCGATTCTTGTATTTAAAATTGTCTTAGGCATGGGCGTATCTAAGATATTTTTTTCGCAGGAGGGAGTTTACCAGTTTCCCGTTCATACGTAGAGAAAAACACGAAGTTGATCCAGAATAAATATATTGATATGACTTATAATTATTTATTTAATAAATTTTATTAGAAATTTAGTGAAAAACATAAACTCATTTAAATGTAAAAAAAATGATTAGAAAAATAATCTTCATTCGACTTGAAAGTTAAAAAAGGAGTACTTCGTTTTTTATTTGCAAGAGCGTGAATCTAAAAAAGCTTAAAAAACATTCTAGATACTGCAGAACAAATGTTTTTTTAAAAGTTTGCGTTTTTTCACGTTTGCACAAAGACAAATGATTAATCCATTAATTTCACGAAAGAATAAAATTTTTTTTAAAGAAAATCGAAAGAATTATATAATTTTTAAAACGATGTTTCTATTGTTTCTATTGTTGTCATTGTCACAGTCACGTTCATCCTCGCCGATGATTAGAATTTCTCAGGGTCGATAGAGTGAACAAGTACAACTGTGTGAGTGTTAAGCTTTTTCGTTTATTGAAAATATCTCTGTAAAACGTGTATATATTGTGGCCGGGCGAGGTAAGCCGACAATACCGAATCTTCGACAACGAAATCGGATAGCAAACGAAGAGATACGGTGAAGACATTGAAAACAACATTACTCGATCGTATTTTTAGTATCTACATAAGTAAAGGACGAATCAACGATGCATTCGCTTACTTTTTAATCTTATTATTAATTATATTATGTATAACAAAGCGGTAACAACTTGTTAATTGTAACTATTATGATAATAATCGTTTACTTTATATAATTACAATAATATAATGTGTAAGGATCATTAACTAATTGATAACAAACGAATCGTATCCTCCTCTTTTTTCTATTCTTCTTATTCTTCTTCATCTTTTCTTCCTCATCGTATCTTTATCTCATCGCGTTCTCATTTCGCTTTCCGTTTTAACCCAATGTCGATCGTTAGCGTAAATCGTTTTATTATTTATTATT